TGCAGAAAGTGGATAAGCCCTGGACAAACTGGGGTGAATTGAGCACCCTGCTATTAATCCCTATGTAATTGTTTCATTTTTATTACCTTCCTCCTGAATTCATTATTTTTAATACATTTCATTCTCCAATTGCCCACACACCAGTGAATATTCTTTTTTTTAAGTTTATTTATTTATTTTGAGAGAGAGAGAGACAGCACAAGTAGAGGAGGGGCAGAGAGAGAGGGGGAGAGAGAGAGAATTCTAAGCAGGCTTTGCACTGTCAGCACAGAGCCCAATGTGGGGCTTGAACTCACAAACTATCAGACCATGACCTGAGCCAAAACCAAGAGTCGGATGCTTAATGGACTGAGCCACCCAGGCACCCCACCAGTGAATATTCTTAATCAGGTTTCAACCACAGGATTGGTTGACTCCATGACTCAGTTAACGAAAGAGCCTGTGGGTCCTCGATACTTCTAATTATTTTTAGGAAATTTTTAAAAAGGGAAATATTAAAATACAATATAAATTTTTCTTTGCAATACATATAGTGTAATAGTTGGTAAACTAGGAAGCAGAAGGCTCCCTTATAAAAGTTAGTCACTAATAACTTTTCAAATCACATGAAGAGAAGCCAGAGTTACCTTCTTGAATTAAAGGGAGAATTCAAATCTTAAATCTTTAAAAATCATACACACACACAAAAATGCCAGTGGGTGGTGGGGAGGAATTCAGAAGCTGATCCAAGCAGAAGTGGCTTGAACACTCAGCTTGCCCAAGGACAGAAAGCCTGGGAATCTCTCCCAACAGCCTCTCCCAAGAAACACTCGCAAGCTGTCACTCTGGAGTGCAGGATGCAAGCAGGGGACATCACGAGGGCCTGAGCTCCCAGGGTAGGAGGCTTTGTCACGCTGCAAGTGAGTATATTTTCTGCCACAAGTAATTGAACACCTGACTGAGACTGGCTTGAATCATAAGAAAATATATTACCTCACAAAACTGGAGTGCAGAGGTAGAACAGAGTCCACGTATGGCTGATTTGGAAGTGCAACAATCAGGGCCACATTATGACTTTCATGGTCCCTGGGCACTTTTGCCTTTATGGGCCCCTTCCTCCATTAAAAAAAAAAAATTATAGTTCATGACTGCAATAGAATTAAGACAAATTAATCCCGGCTGTATGACATTTATTTTTTCCTCTGACTTCATAAGAAAATAAAACATTGTGGAGAATCCCTAAAAGTATCATGGGTCCTAAGATCAGTCAGCCCTATGAAGAATCCATAAAGTATCTAGGTTCTGTTCGTGGTTGGCCACCCACATCATGTAACACCTTCGTGGACAGGCTGGCTTGCCTCCAGGAGATAACATGGCTGTCATTGGCAACTCAGGCAAAGGGCTCCATTGTTCCCGTCCACTGTGAGCTTTGAAGGCCTTTCCCCTAACTATGAAAAGGAAATACTTCCTTCTAGTTTTTATTCATTTGAAGTGGGACAAGTTTGGCACTTGCTTTTAAAGTTAAATATATTTTAGCATATAACCTAGTACTTCCTCTCCTAAATACCTTAAAGAAAGGAAAACATATGGCCACACAAAAAATGTCTGCATGAGTGTCCATGACAGCTTTATTCATAAACAACCCAAAATCTAGCAACAAGTGAACAGATAAACAAGTCAGGGTATAGCCACACACTAGAATACTATGCAGCAATAAAAAGGAATGAACATCTGGATGCATCTCAAAAGCATGCTAAGTGAAGGAAGCCAGACACAAAAGAGTACATATTCTAGGATCCGTTTATATGAACTTCTGCTGAGGAAAAAAAAAAAAAAAAACTCCAGGTAGACCAATTAGGAGGCTGTCATAATAATCCAGGTGGAAGATGATGCATGCTCAAACCAGGATGTTAAGAAGTGATGAAAAGTGGTCTGATTCTGGATATATTTTGAAGACAGAGCCAAGGGAATTTTCTAAAGAATTGAATACAAGTTGTGTGAGAAAAAGAGAAATCAAGGATGACCCATGATCTTGGACCTGAGCAAACTGGAAATTGGTATTAACTGGGATGGTAAAACAGGTGGATAGAGCAGGTTGGGAGAGAGGGTGAGACCCAGCAGACTTGCTAAGTTTGAAATGCCCACTAGGTGAGATGAAGATAACAATGTCAGCAGTTGGATATTCCGGCAGGAAGAGTTCCAGGCTGGAGATAGAAATTTGGGAGGTTCAACCCACTTTTTCTGGGGAGAGAGCAGAGGATAGATAGAATTTTAAAAAATAATAATAACAGAAGAAAATGTCTGGGTAGATCTTTTTTTACTAACCAAAGGCAAATTTTTGTTTTGTTTTTTAAGTTTGGAGGTCATTAATGACTAAGAAAACAAACTTTTTGAATTTGATAGTAAAAATTTTCAGTACTATTAGCAAAACCCCACATACTTATGTAAGGTTCAGGGCCATGAAGCTCCTTTGATCTTGCCCAAAGTTGTGTGTCTTGTAACCAATCTGGCAAGGTCTGGGCAACCCACTGCATATCCAGAGATAAGGAGTGAGGCCTCTACCCAACAGCCTCTCACTCTGGCACTGTCTACCACTTTCTCCCCTGTGGCCAGCAGGAAAGGGAGCAGATCCTCTCTCTCCCACCCTCTCTCTCCTGCTCAGTGTCAAGGTCCTTAGCATCTTCAGTTTGCACATTGTCTCATTCATGAAGTTGTAGTTGGCCGTTTGCTTCTTAGAAGACATGACCGCCTTGGAAGCAAACTATTAATCTGACTGTAGAGTTGGAGCCTTCAGAGATAACAGCAATCTGTGTGGTATGATTTGAAGAAGCCAGAAAAAAATTTTTTTGCTCTCCAGATTCCCGAAATTCCACCATTAGTATGAAAGGTGAAAGTGAAATGCCCAACTTTGAATGACCCATCCTGGGGACTCCTGCAAGTGAACCAGTGCAGAAAAGAGAAGCAGTGGATAAGAAAAAGGGCCCATAAAAAGAGGAGGTGTGTGAGACCAAAATCAAAGCTGGCTACACAATTTTGTTAGTGTGTGTTATACCTGGCCCATTGCCAACCATGGCACATAGTAGGTCAACAATATTTGTGGAATGAATGGATTCTCTTTTTTTCTACATTTGAGGAAGCAGACCCTCCCCCACGCGCAAAAAAAAAAAAAAAAAAAAAAAAAAAAAAAAAAAAAAAAAAAAGCATTTGAGAGAAAAGGCAAAAGAACCAGTTCAATGAATGGGTTAATTTACTGTCCTAGGAGTCACTTACTGGGGGGAAAAAAAAAGATTAAGCAGTTCCTCAGGACCCTCAGCAGCTCTCTGGGAGAGATGTTTCCCCTCTAAAGGGCACAAGATACTGTCCGGAAGGCTGGAGCATCACCAAGGCTGAGTCAAACCCAAGACCTCACACGCCAAACGTGCCATCTTCGGCCTGGGGTTCCGGGTGTCTGGGAACTGGGGTGGGGGCTGACAGGAGAGGGCAGGCGCGGACGCAGAGTGCGCTAAGAGGAGGGGGCGCGGACCGAGAAGCGCAGCACGCTCTCCCGCCTGGCCTGCAGTGCTAGGCTCAGCTCTTGCACCTCCCTCCGCTCTCTCCTCCGCCCCCCTTCGCCCTCCCCCTTTCCCTCCCTTTCTCCTCCTCCTCCTCCTGCCGCCGCGGCCGCTGCCAGACCTCGCCAGTTCAGACCCACCGGGCTGCCCTCCCCTGCGCTCTCCCCCTACTGCCCAGGCCCGGAGCGCAGCGCGGCCGCACAGGTAGGAGCCCCCGGTGCACCCGGTGCCCGCCGGGCAGCGCTAAGGGAAATAAGTGGGGTGACCTCAGGGGTGCAGGGGTACCCGAGAACTGTCCCAGACTGAGCAGGATCTCTCACGCAGGGAGGAAGGTGGAGGTGTGCGGTCTCGGAATGCGATCTGTCAGCATGTGCGAGTACCCGGGTGACATCTGTTTGGATGGGCAAGTGTGTGCGCGCCGACAATCAGCCGACTGGGCTTTGCCCATAAACGAGGCTTTGAAAGTTTCAGGGGGCTAATGTACGAGATTTAAGCCACACCTGGATTCCACAGGAGCTAGTTTGAAGCTGGAGCGCTGAGCAGCTCCCGGGTACTGCCGCATGTTGACTTTCTGTTGCGAGAGGGACCTCACCTCCCCGGGGGCAGGCCCGCTGCCCCGAAACTGGACCTGGCTGCGGTGCGGTTCCCCCGTTCTGGCCCTAGGCAGCCAGATTCTGATACCAAAGGACTGATAATGCGCAGAGAATCAGAAGCTTTGGGCTGCTTCTCCACAAACCTGGGGCTTTTACACAAAGCTGCAGGCAGAGAACTGGCGTGAAAATGCCACTTAGAGAGTTTGTGTTGGAGGATATAAGAAGGAACTCTGAAGGGCAGGTATTCTACTAGGGAAGGAGATTGCTCTTCGAGTTTTGTTTTGGTGTTTTGTTAAAAAAAAAAAATAGCTTGAAGCCAAGGTAATTCATATTGATTCACAGGTATTTCAGCTGAGCTGTGCAAGGAACTTCCTTTACTAGCTGGAGGTGAGCACACAGGGAAAGCCTTAACGTTCAAGGAATCTGAGATTTGCTGCCCCACCTTCTCTCTCTCTCTCTCTCTCTCTCTCTCTCACACACACACACACACACACACACACACACACAAATGCACCATCTCCTTTGAAATTAAGCACCCTCTCTTTTCTTTTCTACCCCCTTTCTGGAGCCTGTTGTGTAGGTACAGTATAAAATGCTTGCTGAATATCCTTTGTATATGTTAAGCGCAGCTGGATGGAGTAAAGTGAAATGTAATTCTGCAGCCGTTTTACAGTCTTTGGTGCCTCGTTTGGCCACGAAGGTTGAGGAGGGGGAGGGGGAATGAGAAAGTAGATTGGAAATTGGGTATGATGGAACATAAACCTCTCCCTCCTGCCCTTCCTTACTTGATACTTCACAGCTAAACTTTTGTTATTCCGCCCCCCACCCCTCCAGCAGATACTAAGCACCGGTTTGTCCTGTGTTTTCTTTGAGATTCATGATGTTGAAAGCCCTTTTCCTAACTATGCTGACTCTGGCTCTGGTCAAGTCACAGGACACCGAAGAAACCATCACGTACACGGTAAGGGGTGATGGAATTTGAGATAAGTGCGGTTCAGCGGGATTCAGTGACACAAGAGAGACTTTATCCACTACTGCCAGTGTATGTGGGCTGTAGGCTGTGGAGGGTAATAAATTAAACAACACTTTAGTATAGTTCACATTTTAAGATTTATTTAAATTGCCCATGGTTCCTCCAAAAGTTCATTTAGATCACCAATTGAGATAGGGAGCAAAATGTAATGATTCTGCAAAACCAAAAAAGGAGAGAGACCCTTTTAAAAACAAAAACCTAAGTAAGGTACATGTTTCCAAAACATGCAATAAATTAATGGAGGTAAGGAATTGGAAAGCCTGGATCCCTATATACAGGCAGATAAAAACAAACATCACAAAGAAAGCATGTGCCTCATTTGGGTGTGTGACTTATGTTCTCATGTAAATGGCCTGTATTGAATTTATAAAGGCTATATATTCATTTATAGTATAAATAACAATTCATATAAATGCCCTTCAGGTAAACTTTATGTGCTACCAGGATGCAGCATTGGCTAAAGTGGTCTTAAAATGCATTGTGTGAAATTTGGTTTTGCATTTTCTAATTAATTACATCTGATTATTTCCAAGTAATATTTGATTAATTAGTGAATTGCATGGGTATAACCAATGTTTAATAAAATATTGAAAACATCATCAGACCCATCCCACCATCAGGAATGAATGTGGTGAGAACAGAGGGCAATACTTAACCTCACTTCTGGTGAGTTTCTGTGCACCTCTGTTTTGTGTTTTCTTTTTGTTTGCTTTTGTTTTGTGTTTTCTACTCTTTAACCTGTGTTGTGAGACAAGTGGTATTTGTCCTGGATCATAATATGAAAAACATATTTTTCTATTTTCTCCCAATTTAAAATTAAGTAATCCTACTCAAAAGAATGTGAAAAATTTTTGAAAATAAAACTCCTAAAAGTGAGCTAATGTCAATTACTGATAATAAGCATTATCTCACTTTTTGGTATCCTATTATCCCTAGAATGTTAGTATTCATCTGGAAAGTGTTCCTTGTTGTTGTTCAAATCAACTATAAATCAAATAAGTTTTCACATAAATATTTTGTTAACTTAATGATAAATGTAGTTGCTTCCTCTGCTGAAGATAAATAAAGCACATGAAATGATTGTTTATCTTCAAATGAGAATGTTTTATTATTCAGGCTAAACTTACTGCCTTCTTAGGAAGCTAGAATGAAGTTAACTACACATTTTTTATATTCATCCAATAAAATATTTTATTGCTATAATTGCTTGTCTTATACCCCCTTCTCTTTGGTTAATCAGCTAAATCACATTCATCTTTAGCAGAGAAAGTTCCTTGTGGATTAAACACTATAATTTTAGACCACTAACTAGGGTTTATTATTATTATTATAGCAGATTTTCCAGATATGACATCCTTTTTGTTTTAAGATTGGGTCTATTCTCTCTTGAACTGTGTATGCCTAATGATTCATGGTTAAAGAATAAGATGTAACTACTTTTTGAGTACCCCACTGTGGAGACACCATCTCCTTTCATTTTCATGGTGAAGTATGAGAGAAGTGGTATCATCTTCCTATCACCAATAGGAGAACCGCAGACCAGAGAGAGTATCTAACTTGCTGAAGGCTACACAGCCAGCAAGTGGTGAAGCTAAACTCAGTCCAGGCTTGTTTAATAGTAGATCCATATTAAATTTACTGGAACTAAATACCTAAAACAATCTGCATGTCTTCTCTAGTTAGCATACAGATTATTCAAGTGAACTGTCATTGTGCCTGACTTGAAAGGTAGAAGATTGAGCCCATATCCACAAGACAACCTCATATCCCCCTTCCATTTTAAAGTTAAAGTCTATTCAGCCATTTACTCACCAAGTACCTGCCATGTGCATAAGCAATTCGTACCACTAGCAAAAGAATTTAAGTTTTTTTGTTTATTAGGAAAATTCAGATCTTCATCTTAGAGAATTTACCCTGGGAAAATATTGTTGAAAACTACAAAGTTCCTGAGCAAGTACAAATATTATCATTATATAGACTATACAAGTTGCTAAAGAAAGAAATAGAAAATCAAGGAAGCAATTAATGTCAGTACCGGCATATTGGAAGAGGTTGAGCTCCATGCTGAACCTTAACGGAAGTAATGACTTCAGATTAATCTAGAAAGGCTGAAGTGGCCCCTGAATCAGCGAAAGTGACATAATTAAAGTCTAGAGGTAAGAACAACCAAGACAAGTTGAGGAGATGTCAAGGTTAGATGGGCTGGAGCTGGGTAGTGGAGGGAACCTGCAGATGGCAGTAGTCAGAGTTGAGAGGTCTGCAAACCAGTGTGAGCTCTTAAATGCAGGAGTAACATAACCAAGACAGCAAGAAAGGCTGTCGTGGAAGCTGTGTGTGGCACACAGAGTTATGGAGACCTGCCAAGAGCGTTGCCTACTCATGAAGCCAAGAAGGCTTTCACCAACGTGGTAGATCTAGAAATGGACACAAGGTTGGCAGAGCTTGCAGGAGAACAGTTGGAAAAGTCAGTGTGGATATTAAGGTTGTAATCCTGGGTCCTAAGATAGGTGCAGTGCCTTGGACAGGTTAGGGAAACTAAAAAGAATTAGCTTAGAAGATAAAAAGAGTTTAACTTTCACCCTGTGAAGTTTCAGATATCATTAAAATATTTAAACTGAGCTGTCTCCGTTCAGCAATTTACTTGCCAAGCATCTGTTGTGTGCATGAGCAACTCTCAGCTCTATTAAAAGAATTCAAGTTTATTTGTTTGTTCACTGTACTTTTGCTCAATCTTTCCTGAAGCATCTCCCTCAAATCTGCATCTGGTCAAATGTTTTCCTGAGCTTAAAAATTGTGGAGAGAAAAAAAAAATAATTAAAAAAATTCTTCAGGGGCCTCTTATCACTTACAGCAGTGTTTCTCAGGAAGTAGCCTATAGGCAACCTGTGACAGGGTCACCTGGGATGCTTGTTAGGAATTCAGATTTCAAGCCCCCTACCCAGACCTACAGAATCAGATCTTTTGAGTCTGCATTTTAACAAGCACCCTGGGTGACTCTTAAGCTTGATCATAAAGCTTGAGTTTCATTGACATTCAAGATAGAATTCAGTTCTTGCCTACCCCTCTAACCTCATCCTCCCCCCCACCCAGACTACTCCCAGTTCCTCTTTAACAATGTCACACCTTTGCTCACATGGTCCCTCACCCCTAGAATTCCCTCATTTTGCCTGGGAAGAGCATATAAGGCCCAATTCACTTGTGGCCTCCCCCATAAAACTTCTCTGCCACCCTGTCATGCCCACACGCTACCCTGTATAGCATTCATCACTTCTTCCACATACATGCTTGTGTCACGGCACCTGACATCTTGCTCCAACTTGTCTACCTGTCTGTCTCTTCTGATCTGTGAGCTGCTTGAGAACAAGCACAAGGTCTTCATGACCTCTGCATCCTGAAGTACTAGAATGGTGGCTGGTAGGAGAAGGTACTCAGTAGATGGTTTGTTCAGTGATTGAACTAGAGAGGACCTGTAGGAATTGAAGCTAGGAGACAGGTCAAGGTATGAGTGCAAGACTTGGGACTCAGTTGAACAGGAATAAGGAAAGCCAGCTGCTAGAATGCTCTAAGACAATAGAGAGAGGAGGGGAAGTGTCAAGTTCAAGTGAAGGAAAAAAAGAACTTGGTTGTATCTATCTTTCTTTCTTTTGGTAAAATTTATAATGTGGAAGGAGGGCAAATAAAGCAAAAAGAGCATTCAGGGAGATTAGAGAAGATGAGTATCCTGACAGAGAAAAGAATTCCAACATGGTGATGGGCAATTGTTCTAAATACAACAGAAGTGGTGAGGCAGCTGGTGATTGAGAAGGGACCTCCTAAAGTGATCCAATGCACAGATATGTCAGAAAGAAAGAAAAGAAGGAAGGAAGGAAGGAAGGAAGGAAGGAAGGAAGGAAGGAAGGAAGGAAGGAAGGAAGGAAGGAAAGGAAGGAAGGAAGGAAGGAAGGAAGGAAGGAAGGAAGGAAGGAAGGAAGGAAGGAAGAAAGAAAGAAAGAAAGAAAGAAAGAAAGAAAGAAAGAAAGAAAGAAAGAAAGAAAGAAAGAAAGAAAAAGAAAGAAAATCTAGAGAATGTTAAACTACCCATCACATCATGTATCTAAGACTCTAGAGCAAGGATTGTTGCCATAAGAATGAAGCTTTTAGAGTGACTTCTTAGGAAGTTGGATACACAAATTAACTGTCTCCTGGCCCCATCTTTGATGTTTCTTCACAGCAATGCACAGATGGATATGAGTGGGATCCTGTAAGACAGCAGTGCAAAGGTGAGCCAACTTCAAAGACTTCCCATCTGAACATAGCTTTCTGTCTCCATCTCATGTCACTCTTCCTGTCCTGTTTATATTCTACCAAAAAGGCATGAGTATATATTTACATGTTCAGATTTCCCTCTGAGAAGATTACTGATTTCTTTTATTGCTGACCACAGATATTGATGAATGTGACATTGTCCCAGACGCTTGCAAAGGTGGAATGAAATGTGTCAACCACTACGGAGGATACCTCTGCCTTCCTAAAACAGCCCAGATTATTGTCAATAATGAACAGCCTCAGCAAGAAACACCGGCGGCAGCGGAAAGTGTGGGTGCCGCTGCAAATGCTGCCGCCACATCAGGTACAGGCGCTGGGGGCATGGCAGCCAGTGGCATGGCAGCCAGTGCAGTGATGCCTGGGGGTGGCTTCATCGCCAGTGCTGCTGCTGTTGCAGGCCCTGAACTACAGACTGGCCGAAATAACTTTGTCATCCGACGGAACCCAGCTGACCCTCAGCGCATCCCAGCCAACCCTTCTCACCGGATCCAGTGCGCAACGGGCTATGAGCAGAGTGAGCATAACGTGTGTCAAGGTAAGCATGACTGATTATGCTAAGGAGAAAGTTCTTGTCCAGGTGCACCTCGTGGTGAGCACGATAACAGCTCACATTTGCTGAGAGCTTCCCACATGCCAATAATCATTGCAATAATGAATCATTATGAATAATTAGTCATCGTTAATAATAACAATTAATCATTGTAATAATCCTAAAAGGTGGTTGCTGCCTATATGGTCATCATTTTACAAAGGAGGAAACTGTGGCTCAGAGAGGTCATCAGGGCTTCTAAACCTTAGCTACACATATTTAGAGTCTCTGGGGAGCTTTTAGAACTTCTCTATATCCAAGCCACACCCCAGCTCAATTAAATAACAGTCTCTGGGGGTGGGTTCCAGGCATCAGTATTTTTTAAAGCTCCCCACGTGGTTCCAGTGTGTAGCCAAGTTTGAGAACCAGAGGTCACACAGGTGGTGAGAGCAGAGCTAGCCTGAAAACCCCAGCAGTGGGGGCAGAGTCACAGCTGCCAGCAGGAGCAGTCAGGTTATTCATTCGGAATTTGAAATTGTGCCTGTCAAGCTACTCCATAAATGTCCTTTGGGTTCTCAAGATTTCATTTCACTTGCCACTAACTTATTTTCCTCACTGAGGGATAAAGAGATGGGACTTCTGTTTCTTGTTACCTTTGAGGGAATCTCCCCCACTAACATTTATGTCTTTTTAAGTTGTCATGGGAGTACATTTCACTTATATCACTTGCACCATAGTACCATCTACTTGGGTTTTTCTGTTTATTTTCACAAAGAGTACACATCACTGTGCATTATTCTAGAAACAGCAGTAGACTCATGCTAGCAAAATGATAAGAATCTTGGGCTTTGAAGATGTGTAGGATATTAGCTAACTGGACTGTGCTAAGAGATTTTGTTCCCCTTTTCCTTCTTAGCAAACCCTTTCAGATCTGCCTGGTGTGGAGACTGTTACTGAGATGGGCCATAGGAGCCCCAGACTCCTTTTTCACTGCCAGGGGCTGAGACAGTAGACCCCATATTACACCACAAGTGCCTGGTACACACTGGCCAATGGAAAGGGCCCAGGAGTTCTTACCTTCTACCTGCTCATGAGTGAGGAAGAGAGCACCTTCCTCCCTCAGCACTGAGGGGCTCAATTGGGATCACCTACATGCTACATTAAGTGAAAGAAGCATCTTCTGGTTCCCTGAGGTGCTGCCTTTTCTTCATTAGTGTTGAGTTTTATCTTCTGTAGGAGATAGATTTCAAATGGCTTATAAATGAAGTAAGGACACCTATCACACTCTGACTTTTATTGTTTTATATTTTGTGTTCAAATTTTTAAGTACCCCACATCAAGAGCTAACCCGTGCTGTGATGGTGTCACTTTTCAGAGGGCGCATCATATTAGCATCTGTTTCGTGTTACTGTCATGAGTCAGAATTCCAATATTGATGATGAATGCTTCAGCATCTGCTTGATATTCTGATATTTAATTTAAGGATTATGTCAAGGAGATACCCTCACGAGGTTACTTTATGTATACGTATTTGAGTGAATATTGGTGAAAGGTATCTTGAGCTTATTGAAGATACCAACTTTTTAATTGTGTTATTTAAATATATAGTTGAACTGGAAGGGTTGGTGGAATTTTTCCTGAAACTTAAAAGTTATGCTGAAATTTTTTAAGCATTGACTTTTATGACTGAATTATTTTTCATGCTTCAGATGTATATTTTAAACGGTACTTAGGAGAAAAAAAAACATAAATGAATAGGTCATTTCCCAAAGTAGCTTATAGTCTATCATTGATGATTATGGTTGACTTCAAGAACAAAGCCTAGAACCAAGTGAAGAAGTTCTAGGATAAAGCATATTCAAGACTTATAATATGTACTGGTTACAGTAGAAGCTGTATAATAAAGTGTGAATAATAAAAATTAAATCCTATTTACTTTTTCTGAAAAAGATTTAGACTACCTTACAAGGTTATTTTTCACATATTACAACATTTGTAATTCTTACTTCTATGAGAATTTTTTTCTTTACATATAAGCTAAAACGATTAAATGCCGTGCTTATAATAGATGCTAAAAACATACACTTACTGTGTGCACACAGAGTATTCCCAGCCCAACTGTTCTGCATAATTCAACCAATTTCTAAAACTTGGGATTGGGGTCTGTATCATTGAAAGCAGGGTTAAAAGTTTTTTGGATGACTTAAGGCTTAAGTTGGATTTCTTCCCACCTCACAATTTTGCAAAGTGCCCATAAATGTGGATTTACTTAATTGTTGATAAAAGGGGGTTATTTCATATGATAACAACAGGATAATCTGTCTGGGGAATCTGACTAACATAAGTCGAGTCACACTTGTGCCCGTTTATTATTGAGCTAATCAAACATGCAGTCCAGCTTCTTCTAATTGCCTGCAGATGTATGACATTCCCAGTCCAGGCCAGCAGCACAAAATAATGTTTTATAACCAATGTGAAAGTACGGGGACCTCCGCTTAAAACAATAATGTGCTCCAAGGACCTATATTTCTGACATCATTGTGGAGTTTGAAGAGCCTTCTGTTTTAATAAAGACCTCCACTCCCTTTTAAATATTTCGTACTATGCCCAGTAATCCAAACACATTTACCATGGTTGCTGGATCGGAATAAATGAATGCCTGCAGATGAGTCATATTTGTATTAAAATTATTTCTTTTTTCCACATATATTTTTCAACAGGTACAGTTTATCATTACATAACCTAAAGCTAAGGACATTTTTTATTTAATGGCTGAAATGTGTACTGTGCTTTGGTGTTAAATTCAACTGTACCTTTGAACATACTATTACTAGCCACAGATGGCACCCAATAATTTAAATACCAGTAGGTATTTTTAAGTGTGTTCTGCTTTATAAATATATTTTTATTTTTATATTTTTAATGTTTTATTAAACATTACAAGAGAGAGAGTGAGATAGAGCATGAGTGGGGGAGGGGCAGAGAGAGAAGGAGATACAGAATCTGAAGCAGGCTCCAGGCTCTGAGCTGTCAGCACAGAGCCCGATGTGGGGCTTTAATCCACGAACTGTGAGATCATGACCTGAGTTGAAGTCCGATGCTTAACTGACTGAGCCACCCAGGCACCCCTATATCTTTAAACAACTGTCTATGTTTTAACATTCAGTGAAAACATGATTTATTATTTTTTTTTACTCCTTTTCATGTATTTGTCCAGAACTTTTCAATTTAGTGCAAAAGCAAAGGGGTTAAAAGAGTAACATAACATGCAAATATCAATTCACACTGAGCAAGTTTTTTCAAACAAGTTTTGCTAACCATGGGTGATGCTGAAAGAGCAGTTTGCCCTGAGAATTTCAAATGAGCAGCACCATCCTTGGCAGCCATAAAACTACATGAATATCATTTTATTGCCACATACTTGGAGTCATATATAAATAAAGTTTTAGAAATTATTTCTCTATGAGCTGTCACCTACCTATAAGAAAACAGATATTCATCTATTCCAAAAGGAAGTTAAATGAACGGGAAATATATTATAACCCATCAATGTGTCACTTTGTTTCTACAACTTCATTGCATAGTCTCTGTGTAATCTTCCTCAAAGGCAATGGCTTTGGAAATCACTAGTTTGAGTTAAGAAAGGATTTTTAAATTTTTTTTTAACATTTTTTTTTTAATTTTTTTTTTTTAATTTTTTTTTCCAACGTTTATTTATTTTTAGGACAGAGAGAGACAGAGCATGAACGGGGGAGGGGCAGAGAGAGAGGGAGACACAGAATCGGAAACAGGCTGGATCTGAGCCATCAGCCCAGGGCCTGACGCGGGGCTCGAACTCCCGGACCGCGAGATCGTGACCTGGCTGAAGTCGGACGCTTAACCGACTGCGCCACCCAGGCGCCCCTAACATTTATTTATTTTTGAGAAACAGAGCATGAGCACAGGAGGGGCAGAGAGAGAGGGAGACAGAATCTGAAGCAGGCTCCAGGCTCTGAGCTGTCAGCACAGAACCTGATGTAGGACTCGAACCCACAAACCATGAGATCATGACCTGAGCCAAAGTCAGACGCTCAACCTACTGAGCCACTCAGGAGCCCCAGATTTTTTTTTAAATCATATACAACTTTCTAAAAGCCTCATTCTTCCAGGAAAAAAAAAGTCTTTTGGGAACTGGCAAGTAAGAGAAAGCATCGATTGCCCAATTTGAAGGAATTTGTTTACTCAATTGAACTTTCAAAAAATTAAACATAGGGCATTTTGTTTAGCTGGTAATTATGCCATTACTAAAATCAGTCAGGATTTACAGGTATCATTACTAACTTGCTAAAGAAACTGAAACATCAAAAAATGAACTTGATACAAGGGCTTAATAAAGCTGATTATGGAGCCAAATCCAGGATGCAGCACCTAGCTTGTATTACATAAGGTATAACTGAGAGGTGAAAATACAACCTAGGGTTTCCAAATGTCTCTGTTTACCCAAGACTATCTTGGTTTGACTACTGAAAGCCCCACAACCCAGCAAATGCCTCAGTCCTGAGCAAATGGGATGGTTGATCACCCTAGCACATCCTCAACAACCAAATCTCTTGCACCTCACTGCCAAGAGTAAGGAAATCCTAATGTTAAAGCCATTTTTTCAGGTTAAGGCATGTTTGTTCAGTGAAATTGTTTTTTCAATTTGTTTTGAACTTTTAAAAACCAAACTTCACTGATTTTTAAGTACCTGGACACAGTCTTTCTTTACAGTTGACAGGCTCCCACTTGCCAGTTTGTCAGTGAGCTGTTTTCCACATTGTTCTAGACTTTGCATGTGTGGAATACCTAGTCATTAGCACCTACATACTTAGATACATGTTATACCTTGGTGGCTCATCTTTCCACATTTCTACTGGGGAAAAACGTACCACACAGCCAAATTAAATACCATGCTTCAACTATAAAGTTTTGTTTGTCAAAATATTTTTTCTATTTTTAGCTCTATTTTAAATGATTCAATTTGATTT